ATCTGTGAAAAGAGAGCTTGGCGCATACTAGCTTTTAGAGGGGACCTATGGGATGAGAGTCGGAAACGATGCCTTGGATCGTGGTCAGAAGCAAAGCAAACAGACTTCTAAGCAGAGTACTTTATAATTGTGATGCCCGCTGGTATGGTGAACTTAGCGGCCTTCGATTATACACTAAATGGACGTCGTCAGATTTGGCTGAATACACACGAAGTGGCCGAATTTCGGTGTTGACATGTACCTAGACTTTGCCACGAAAACTGATTTATACGACGCAAACGAGAGCTGAGTTAGTCAGATTTCCCAGGGCGTTGAGCATGAACCTACGGGACATCTTCACTGTGAGTATGTAATAGGTATTCGAGGTTTAAAACGCGAAAAAGGTGCAATGGCGTTCTGCTCTCGGCGCCTCGGCTGAATTTGCGTGGTGTGTACTCCAGCTGCACGAAAAAAATATGTGGAAAGTGAAATTAACGTTTTATAACAGGCATTAGAGTTAGACTTAGACTGAGGCAGGGTATCCAGACGTGCTAGGGATTTCAGCCAGCTTCTAAGTCTGAAGTGACGACTGCTGGCGTTGAGAATTGATGAAAGGAACACGCTTGTGCTCCTGATTCTTGACTATCAGGACAATGTCCCTTCTTTGTCGCTCATGCCAGCCATGAGGACAAGCCCTCCACATACAATTCTACCGAGAAAATAACTCTGTTAGATATTAGATTCAGCCGTCTATGTTTCCAAAAGGACGCGCAAACGCTAAATGACTCTCTGTCTTTCCCTATAGAACTAGATATTGGCAACTCACTAAGGAGAGTTGGTTAAGTCACGCTGTGGTCGATTTTTGTGAGACAAGACAATGGTAGTTGACGTTACCTGGTTTTGGAACATCAAAGCGGGGCCAAGTGAATCTCCTGTGCTGATCGAAATGAGTAGCTCAGATCTGTCTCACGCATATAATGGACACTAACCAAGTTTATTTAGAGTGTTTAAACAGCACCAAAATTTTTGTAGAATATCCAGAGACAAGAGTGAGCCGTCAAGAGCCGAACTCCACCCGTGATTCCTGCAAGTTGAGGCATCTTCATTTCTTCTGCATTTTGTATTGGCGTAACACTCCCAATACAGCTACAATTTGGGATCGTCCATAATTACTTGTTGCATTTCAACGTTTCTAATGTGATATCCTCATTCCGGGATAGAGAAGCCGAGGCGTCCCCACATGTGGGGTTGACCCCATACATTTTCCGCCGGCAAGTTTCAATCCAGTCTGACGCTCCTTGCTTTCAACCACCATCATGTCCTCCCATATCTTCAATGTTGAGAAGCAGGTGTGTATCCCGTCTCTTCATGCGAAGCCCTCATGAGCAAGCTCAACCATTACTTAGTTGACCTTCTATGGCGCTTACCATGCTAACCACACAAACATTGTCATCCATATGATTTTCGTACCTATCATCATTTGGTAGGGCATCTGCTTCAATTTGGATCCCAGTGTTTTAATTTCTTTCGACCAGGACTTTTCAAGTGATGCTCTCCTCGGTTGGCATGCCCCATTGGTTCCCGGAAGTCCACTACCAAGTGAACGATTATATGGCCTTTGACCTAAATTGGGCTGCAATACAAGCGGCGCTTTATCTCGTCTATTACTTTATCCTGGAGCCAGTCGCCACTGTAAGTTCTTCATACTCAGCACGGGCAAGTGAACTAATGAAACCTAGATATTGTACATTCCTCAAGTTGCGGTATCTCTGCTCACTGCGACAGCTTTCAAGGATCGACCCAATGCGCTCATAATTGCTGGTGTCCTCAACGTGTTGTCTTATATTGCTCAATTTGTGGGACACGGTGTCTTTGAAGGAAGAGCCCCTGCCTTGCTTGACAACCTTCTCCAAGGTATGAGCTCTGGAATGTCCAACAAGCACTCTCCACGCGCTTATGCTTCCGTTTTATAGCCAATGTACTTGCACCATTCTTTGTACATCTTGAAATGCTCTTCAGCATTGGTTACCGTCCGAAATTCCACAAGGTTCGTCCTTTCTGTTCTTAGGGCGCTTATGAGACCGCAACTGACTTTTGACAGCGGTTGACCAACGAAATTGGGAAAGAAATTACGCGGGTTAGGAAGGCAAATGGCGATAAAAAGCGTGCTGCTGAAGCCTCCAAGAAAGGCCTTTGAGTTTGTTTATTTTCGATTCAGCAAATTCACGGCATTTTGTTGCACAATCATCCAAGTATTCACTATGGATTACAATTTGTGTAATTGTGCTGTAAATATTAACTTATTAGTGGATGACCGTGACGACAAATGGAAGCATAGGCATTGTGAGCCCTCTGTGGTTATTTTTTTAATGGTGGACATTGAATTAGTTCGAAGAACAATCAATTAGAAGACTCTGTGGGTTCGGCTGGCGGAGTAGGCTGAGTCACATTAAAATATTCTGAAAAGGGATCCCAGCTTGGGTCTGTATGCCTCTCGTATTCGATGCCGTGAGCAAAGAAATCGGCCACATCCTCTCCATAGATACTAAGTAGAGGAGTTATAATCAGTTGCATTACACAGTTGAAGGAGAACGTACTCATGTATGAACCCGAACATTGCATCCAACCCAGCGGATACTCCACTTGAAGAATAAATGTTCCCATCCACTACCCAGCGTGCTACTGGAATCCAGTTAACATTAGGACCAAGGGCCGTAGTCTCTTTCCAAGCGCTTTTGTTTGTTGTTGCATTCTTGCCGTCAAGGACACCGGCAAGCGCTGCAATGCCCGCACCAGTACAGCTACATATTGGTAGTGAGTCTCTCATAGAGATTATTACCTCGGAATTGACTTACATTGTCATGAAGTACTTGAGTGAGGGAAATATCTCCTTCACAAAGTTGACGGAGCTGGTGATGGCTGGGTCGAGAGTACCCAAACCGCCGGGAACAATGAGAACCTATTCAAAGAAGGATAAAAAATTGGAACTGGCTGCATATGAAATAGTAACTTACTTCAAGGTTGTCAGGAGGATTGTCAAATGTATGGGTGGGCAGGACAGATTCTGAGAAGTTGCTTCCCGTACTGAGTACACGAGGGAAAGTAGATACTGGATCAAGGCTCTCCGATATGAGAGAGAGGTTAAGTTGAACCGTGGATAGACTCATCAAGTTCAGGACGTCCAGGGGACCAAAGACATCCAGCGCTTGGAAACCTGGATAAAGAACCATCCCAAAGTTATGAGGGACATTATCTGGGATGCCTGATTATAGTCATGAGCCTTTACCGAGCCAAAAGTCATATAACCTTACCTCTCACGATGCGGACACCTAAAGCGACCCATGCAAGTAACTGCCAAAAGATTTGGTGGTTCATAGTTCCTTAGGTTGGAACCGAAAACCATGTTCAAGGTGTCTTATAAAGCGTTAGTAGTGCGGATGAGGATCGGAAAAGGACCATCCGCATAGGTCAGAAGGACGAATGGTAAAGATACAGTCCTACGGGCGGAATAGACCGTGATAGAGACTTCCGCCGGCACCCCAGCATTGTGAGCTTGGCAGACCCTTGAAAATAGACTTCGAGGAGCTCAATTTAAATTTAAACGACCGTCGAGTGGGGGGGATTTCGGCTTTAGTATGTACGAATATCTCGAACTGAGATGAACCTGGAACGATGGGTGTTTGGAAGCGAGCCAACCTCGTTCGAATACTAGCAGCTCAACGACAGAGGAGCTAACGTGACTGAGTTCGAAAAAAAAAGGCGTGAGGAATTTCAAGTTGGAAGCGACTCAGGACGGCCCCACAGGCTCGGGGGAAGGCTTTGAACCTGAAAATGAATCCTATTATCTGAAAGTCAGATTGCGCTCGGTCGAGAAATCAATAAATGAGATAGAAAGGAATTGAATACATGTTAGATGAGCAGTCTGCCGAATAGCAAAAAGCCTCACTATAGCGATGAATGGAGGGATACGGGATTGGTAATCGAAAATGAAGAATCCATTGATGGTGAGCAAAGCTAGGACAACCTCGAGGGTTGTGCGTGGGCGGAGGAAAACAGCCAAGCCATGGAACACTTTTCTAGTCCAACGGCGAAGGATTGGTAGACCGCCAACAATGAGACGACATCTATCCACTTGCCCACACACGAGGGTACTAGGTATTCTCGACATGCAAATCTTGGGGGTAAAGGAGAGAGCGGCCTGATAGCCTTCCAAATCTCCGATGCATTCTACGGTTGTGAAGGGACCAAAGAAAGCGAAGCTGTCCGCGCCAACGAAAATCGACATGTCAGTTCAGAAGAGGGGATAAATAGCATCATTATCGCATTGGAATATTACGCCAAAGACAAGAGGCTGGAAATAGCAAACATCAGCGAAACCTGCACACTCTAAAGTGATTCAGTTCATGTTTGAAACGAGCCATGGACAACAACTGGGTGCTGAAGAACAGGTAAGATGAAGGAATGTCCAATTACAAGCCAGACGAGGCCATGTACGGACATAACAGCCAGGCATTTCAGACCCGCCGTCCGGAGAGATTGTCGCATCGACGGTCAAAGCAGTCGTGGTGGTGGTGATGCCGGGTATTTCCCATTTTCTTTTTGAACGAGCAGCGTGATGCAACATTGGCGACGAATTCTGCCTGCGACGGAGCCATGGGGATGTTCCATTGGTTAACATCTCAAGCTAAATGCTGAAATTCAGTTTGGGCGAAGATGTATCCTATGGGACGGTGGGAGACTTTGCCACTGGGTATCCATAGTCGTTGTGGATGTCACTCATCATCATACAGTCTGGGACCAGAAGGCCTGATGATAAACAGCAGCTATCATATCCTGAAAGATAGCAGTACGAGAAATAATCATCTCAAGGAGTTCAGGGGTAAGCCGAGGACAAACCCTCTTCATATCGTGGTGGTCGAAAGGCAAGCCTAATGCTCCTGTCTGAATAAATCCCGTACAAGTTACAACTTACTTCTAGGCTGGTTACGACAGACAAAGTATGCCCAAAAAGTTTATCCTCTAGCCCCACGCGAGGGTCGAACTCGCAGCCTTCAGATTAACACGAAGTGTAAGAGTCTGACGCTCTATCCGATTGAGCTAGCAGGGCAGCTGAAAGAACTGAGGTTAGAAGCGTTTATATTCACCGGGTAACTTTTCGAATACTTCAAACGCTTTTTTAATTTTCGAAATCCTGACAATAAATGTGGATGTATGTACAAAGCTGGACTTGGAAAGCAAGAACGAAAATCTTTTTCTTCTTCCAATTCCTGTTTTCTATGAATGTTGGTCGCTGAAGAGTGACAAACCTTGTTCTCCAGTATTGTTGCTAACTCTGTAAGCCATTTCGAACAAGGGAAAGGCAGGATGTACCATATAGTCAATGCTCAAGTTGACTAAGAACATGTTTATTTGTTGTCGCTTCGCCTGAGCCTCTCTACCTTTCACGTTTCCATAGATGGTTTACGTCGTGTCTAGCTCTGTACCGTCCGGCGCATCAAATACTTCAAGTCACTTCCCAAGTAGAAAAGTCATCAGCGTTCTGGGAACCAGTAATCACCCTCAAAGTTCGTAAAAAGCGGTCCATATAGTATGTTCAGACTCTGAAAAGTAATTTGATGACTTCAATAAACGAGAAAGATAATTGGACCGACCATACGGAAATCGAATCCAACCCTCGGGGAGTCCTGAGGTAGGTGAAGAGCCATTCGCCTGTAAGCGCTTACCGAGGATTCCAATTCTAACTTGTTTCCCTTCTAAAGCAGCGCCCATCCGACAAACAAATTGCTCGAACACGAGTGTTCTGGCTGGAAGAAAGAAGGTCACGACCACCCCATGCTGTTGAGCGCAGCCAGCGAATAGACTTGAAAGCCATGTACGCCACCCATCAGCGTATTCTGATGAAGATATGCAAAACCTCGTTTTCACCAACAGCCAGATATCCTTCACATTTGGGAGAGATGATGGAGGTACTCTCACAGCTAAGACGACATGTTCAGCTCAAAAAGAAAGGCTTAAAGACAATGAAATGTTACAATCGGGAATATCGTCGAGCTCGAGCACGAGGGTCTCAAGGTATTCTGTACTACCATGTGTAATCAACGATGAAAGCCAACGGCCCATGGGAGATGGAGTGAATGGTCTGGCTAAAGCTAAATGCCGTACGTTTGAAATATCAAGGCACTTCATGAATGGGGCAGACAAAAAATTGTCGGAATCCTGAAGATCACAATGCACATGCAGGCGAAATGTTGAGAGAGGGCAAAGGGGGCCTGGCATTACGGCCTGCTGTCTGTCGAAGCTGGTTTGGCTGAGCAGAAGAGCAAGACCTTTAATCTTCAAGAAGAAGGAGGAAGAAAACAAGGACCCCAATTCCGTGAAATTCTCTGTAGTTATGGTTTGGAGGGCAGGCAGGGAGGCTACTGCACTTCCAATCCAAGGATTGGGTTTCCACTGCCTGCCTGTGTAATCGGTGGTATCAGCCCAAATCAACACATCTGTTGCGTGGGATAGTCTGGGGAGAATTGCGAGTAGGGCATGAAGTGAGGTTGTGTCGTTGTCGGGATCGTTAGCTGGATCCAAGTCGTGGTTTGAGACGAACTTCTGAGGGTTGAGGATGCGCACTTTGCGAACATATTGTCCCACATCTGGAGAGCGTTCTATAATATTTAGAAAGCGAGAACACCTGGAAGACCGAGACCACGGTGTTTCGACTGGAAATGGTAAAGAGTGATGCTGTGGAACCGAATCGTTCGACATGCTGGAAGGAAAGCACGTGAAGCAAGGCTGCAAGCCGCAATTGCGGAGAAGTCACCAGATAGGAAGATAAACACGCGTTCGAAGATTTCCGTCGGAAGGCTCACTGACATTGTGGACGCAAGAAGGAACATAGTCGGACAGGCGCTTGACGCCCACACTCATCCCTGACTTAAAAGTCTTATATCAACATTTGGCCAGTTTGGTTCTGTTACATCCAGTATTTCTAATGCCCTCCTCAGCTACCTTTCCCCAATATGTTTTATTGTTGCATAATTCCCTTGGTTATACTCTGACCTTTGAAAGTGGAGAACAATATTGATGCCAGCGGCTTTATAAACCAGGTTCATACAAATAGTTTGGAGCGATTTGTATACAGTGATAATGCGTTCAACCCAGTTGAAAGCCGGCCGCTAACTTTCTCTTCAAGCCTACTCACCCAGATCCCACATTCTGCAGTTTACTCATGGACACAAGAGTTCCCCATTTAAATAATCAATAGCGCAGCTCAGTTGAGGAAGTTCAGTAATCATTGAATACACCAAGCTATGTTCCAAACACAAATACTTTGAAAAGACTTTTATGACTCGGAAGTTCACAAGGTTTCTGAAAACTATCACACTCAATCACAAAGCTCGTAAAAGTCAGTCCATATGGCGTGCTCAGACTCTTAAAAAATTCAATATCGTAAATAAAATGAAAGATAGGTACCCACCGTACGAATATCGGCCCCAACCTTTGGGTAACTGCGAAGTAAGAGCAGAAGGGCGGCTTGAGTCATCCACATGAGGGATCGCAATCACGACTTCTTTTCCTTCTAATGCAGAGTAAAGACCGAAGATAAACTCCTCAAACTGTTGTTGCCTGTGGATTGGAAGAAAGAAGGTCACAGTCACCCCGTGCTTTTGAGCACAACCAGAGAATAAACTTGAGAGCCAGATATTCCAGGCCTCAAAGTGTTCTAGAGCAGCTATGCGAAGTCTGGTCCTCAATAACAATTGAATATTCTTCACGTTCTGAAGGGATGACGGCGGTATGCGCACAGCTAAGATGTATATTCAGTGCCAAATGCGTAGCTGAGAAGAGAAAAAATTTACTATCAGGAAGATTGTCAAGTTCAAGGATGAGAGTCTCAAGAAACGCTGTCTTGCCATGGTCGATCAAAGCCGACAGCCAGGACCCAAAGGGGGATTGAGAGGATGGCTTCGCCAAGGCCAAATGCCGGACATTTGAAATGTCAATATACTTCATGAAGGGTGCAGACATAAAATTGTCGAAGGTTGGACTGGAATTCCGCAGGTCGAGGCGAAATGTCAAAAGAGAAGGAGGGCTTGACAGTGCTGTCCTCTTTCCGAAGTCGCCCCCGGAAATAAATAAAGAGAGTCCTTTGATCTTTTGGAAGAATAAAGAAGAAGAGAGAGACTCCAACCCCATTGAGTCTTCTGTCGTAACGGTTCGGAGGGAGGGCAGGGAAGCAATTGCACTTTCAAGCCAAGGATTGGCTGCCCAAACAATACCTACATAAAATTTGTGGTGAGACCAAATCAATATATCCGTCACGTGGGATAGTCTAGGAAGAATCTTGAGCAAGTCATGAAGTGAGTTTCTTTCCGTGTCAAGGTCAATTCGTTTATTTGAAGGATCGTTTCCGGCGAAGTTCTGCGGGTTAAGAAGACGAACTTTCCGGACATATTTTTTCACAATTGGAGAGCGCTCTATAATATCTAAAAAGAGAGAGGACCTCGAAGTTTGAGACTGTGGTTTTAACAACCGGGAGTTGTGCAGAGTGATAGAATGGAAGCGGATAGTCCGGCAGGAGGGGAGAAAAACAGGCGACGCGAGGCTGCAAGCAGCAATAGAAGACAGATCATGATATAGGAAGAGGGGTATGCGCTCGAGGATTTCCGCCGGAAGGCTCGTTGGCATTGTGGCCGTAGGAAGAAAGTTGCCCCACGCAAGCGCTCATTCTTGCTCGTCTCCTTTAACGTCTGAAAACGCCATGACTGGAGTAAGTTTGATGTAAGAATAAATCTGTTGAACTCTGCCTGCTTGCGTGTTAACACAACTGTATCCCCAGTTGTCCCTTCTTGAGCGGACTGGTGGACACAACATATCTCTCTTCACTCATAGGAAGCTTCAACCACTCCATATACCGGCTAACGCCCTGAAAACAAGTAATACCATGCTTTCATCATAGAATTCATAAAAGAGGAGTTTGAAATTAGTTTAGCTTGCTAAAGCATGGCCATACAGGATTCAGTGCTCCAGTAGAAATCAATGACGTCCTCAACCAAGTGTTGAAGCCATCCTATGTCCAAGAGCAAAATGAGGGTTGTAACAAATATCACAGTCAATCTCGTCTCAAAGCTCGTAAAAAGCGGTCCATATGCCATGGTAACTGTCTGGAAAACGTGAAATTTGAAAAGAAAAAAAAAAAAAAACCAACAAGACATTTAATATGCACTCACCATGCGTACATCGAACCCAACGCTCGGGCAGCTCTGGCAGTGGAAGTGAGGGGTCGTACCCTGCTTCGCGCATGGGAGGGTATGAAATTCTAACGTAATGGTCTTCAAATGCAGGTCGCAATCCCAAGATGAGCTTCTCGAATTCTCTTTGTTTGTAGATTGGAAGGAAGAAGATAACTTGTATCCCACTTTTCTTAGAACTGGCATTGGTAGACTTGAGAGCTAGGTATTCCAACCATGAGAGTCTTCCTGCGAGGACATGCGAAATCGGTAATCTCCGAGTATAAACCAGATTCTGTTCAAATTTGGAAGAGATGATGGAGGTACTAGTATGGCTATAACAGATGGACCAGGTGAGAGAAAGCAAAAGCTGAATAAAATGAAATATCACTATCGGCAGAAAATTCAAGTTCGAGTGCGAGTGTCTCCAAGCACTCTGTTTTGCCCTTTTCGATCAATGCCAAAAAGCCACGAGCCAAAAGGAGATCGAAATTGAGGTTGTGCCAGAGCTAAATGCTGGACGTTTGAAATGTCGACGTATTTCATAGATGGCGCAGAAAGAAAATCGTTCGGGTCCGGAAGATCGTCCTTCACTTCAAGGCGAAATGTTGAAAGAGATGGAGGAGCATAGGATATTACTGTGCTTTGCCTGTCCAAGTCACCTCTGACGATGAAAAGTTCGAGTCCTTTGATTTTCGGGAAAAAAGAGAGGGCACCGAGGGTTTTCAATTCCATCCAGCTCTCCGTCGTTATCGTTTGTAGAGAAGGTAAAGAAGCAACCGCACTTGGAATCCAAGGAATTCGCGTCCATAACACGCCGTAAGCACGAAACCAAATCAAAACATTTGTTGCATGGGATAGTCTGGGAAGGGTCTTGAGTAGGGCA